GCTGTTTTTTTTGTTTTTGCTTTACTCGCGTGCCGTGGGTCGTGTTCTTTTTTTTTCAGTTATTTCGGTTTTCGCCTTCTTTTATGTGATGCGTTTCTTCGTATTTCGTTTGCTTTCCGCTTCTGTTCGTAGTTTTATTTTCTGTTTTCAACGCCACACAACTTTCTTTGCCTTTTTTTTCTTTTCCTTTTTTTTATGAACAATTTTCAACTCTCGATTTGTCTCTGTGTGTGTTTTGCTGTGCTTTGAGGCTCGTCACTTTGTTGGTGGATGTTGGCTCGGCCGCCGCCGCTTTTTGTTTTTTAAAAAACAAAATTTTTTCCCACCGCCTGCATTTTGGAGCAAACACGCCTGCTCCCAGACACACAAAAAAAAGGGAGGGGGGAGGGGGAAGTGATACATACATACCTACGCATATGTGTGTGTATATATATATATATAGCTATGGCTATGTATGTTTATGTACTTTGTGGCTAACTCAAGTAGAAGAGTCGTGTGCGTGTCTTTCTCTCTCGCTCTCTCTCTTCTTTTTTTTTTCTTTTTCTTTTTGCTGGTAGCAGAGCAGCCGTCGAGGATGTATGGCTGCCGCTGCCGCTGCTGTTGTTGATAGTATTGCTAAATGCCTTGCCGTAACGGTTGCTGCTATTTTTATGCTTCTTGTTGTGGTTTTTTTTTTTCACTTTTTCTAATGTTATGGGTAAACCGTGCATATGTATGTGTGTATGCACTTTATTAGTTTTGTTTGTGGGGCCGTACTCAACCAATTTTTTTTTTCATTATATTTACTTTCTTTTCACACACACCCTTTTTTTTTTCTTTGGTGGTGGTTCGTTGTGCGTTGCTCTTTATCTGTTTGTACGTGTGCAGCCCCCGCTCAGGCGGGGAGGCGGTAGTTAAATTTAGCTTTTGCCGCTTCAGCCGTGAGATGTCAAGTGAATTGCGGGAAGGCGCGTGCCGGGGTGGGGTGAAGTTGTACGGTGGGCCGTTTCCCCCCCAGCACAAGGCGGTGCGCACGCAGAGGTGCATAATGCAGCTGGTGTGCATATGTTTATATGAGCACTCTTTGCGTGAGTGGAGAGCACACTTCATTTTGTTTTTTTTGCTTTTCACTTCTCCAGCGGCAATCCTCTCCCCACGTCAGTTACCCCGTTTTTCTTTTGTTACTGTTCCTGTTTTTTTTTTCCTTATCCCTCTTTCAACCCGCGGCTGCCTTTTTTTTCTTTTTGCGTTTGCTGTTTTTCTTGTGTGTGTCTTTGAGTGCGCGTGGGTGCCTTTGCTTTTGCGGTGTCTGTGGCGCCCGCCCGTGCGTCTGCGTGTTTTGTTTCCCCCCCGCCCTTCGCCCCCGCCACCCACGAGGTGGCGGCGGTGCGTGTGTGTGGGGGGGGAGGGGGGGGGTGCGGGGCGCAATCAACTCGGCTCCTGCGCCCTTCTGCCCCGGTAGGAGGAAAAACTCAAAGCGGACGGAAACGGAAAGAGTTCATGCAAGTCGTATTTGCAGACAGAAGTGAAGAATAATAAATTTAACAAAAAAAAAGGGGGGACAAAAAAAGGAAACGATCCCCCCTTTGCGTGGTGGGGTGGTGGTGGTGGTGGGGGATGTGCGAGGC